TTTCCGTATCTTCCTGGACTGAAACGATTTCATGGCAGGAAAACAAAGGAACACATCCTATCCCCTTGACAATCCGATTTAGATACTTAATTTTTTTTTAAAGTCGCCAATCTATTGTTATTTATCTCCTGTCGCCTACCCCCACGACCCCACGTCCACCCCTCGGCATCAAAATCCCGCGTTCGCGTGATGACCATCAATCACCCCGTTGCCAGCTCTCCTTCCCGCCATCAAACACAATCCGAAACGACTGAGCGGAGCTTTACTGCACTCTCCCGATAACAGCCCGCTTAATACCAGTTTAAACATTGGCAAACAGCCTCTCAGAAGGGGAAGCCCCGGCCAGCCATTGGCCGCCTCTCCCGACACCCCTCCAATGGCGCGAGATACCGACGGGCAGCATGGCCTGCCGCGGCCGCCAATGGCGCGCCGCCGTTCGCGGTCGTCCTGGGACGGGGCGGAAGGATAATCGAAGGAAACAGCTGAACGCGGAGGCGCGCGTCACAGCTGACTGCGATATTTTTGGGCCGGGGGCTGCCGGATTTCGCTCGGGGACCGGTAATTAATTGTTATTTTCCAGGGCGAGGTGTGCCCGGTGGAAGGATAATAAACAGAAAGGGGATTATTTTCTTTGGGTGTGATTTATGGGGGGTGTTTAGGCGGGCGTTTAGAGTTCTCTGGAAAAAATATAAATATTCACATTATATACAGGGTGTCCCACCACGAACTCCATCGATGGATATCTGGGAAACCGCTCAAAGGATTTTGTTGAAATTGTTATGGTGTGATGGACCATGGGGCCTACCAAGCTAAAATATTTTCAAGGTCATCGTACTTCCGGATATTTATTTATTTATTTATACTGCATACACACAGACAAAGGGACAGTCTAATTACATGTATACAGTTGAGAAATGTTAGCTAATATAAAAACCAGTTAAAAATAATGTATAAACAACCAGACACATGCAAAATACAATGTAAAAAGAGAACAAAGAAAGAAAACAAAAAAATTCAATTAAAATGTACATAAAACACCCAATCGTATACGTATCATAAGTATGAGAGTAGCTTAGTCCGACTAATATTAAAAATATCAATGTCGTATATTCTTAACAAATTATTCACCGTACACAGACACTGTTCTAGGGGTGAATTAATATTAAATATTTTAAAAAGTCTATATCTAGTTCGCATTCTCATATCGGGTACATTAATATTAATAGACGCCAACAAATCGGGGACAACAATCTTACTATGTAAAATATTATAAGCGAACAAAATCTGAGCCTTTTCTCTTCTCCTATCCAAAGAGGTCACGCCAAACTCTGCTCGTTGATGTTCATATGATACCATGAACGGGTACACTCCATACTCTTTAACATATATTGACCTCAAAAGCTTCTTCTGTATTTTCTCTATTGTGTCCTTGTTACTGGTAGCTTGTGGGTTCCAAATCACACTGCAATACTCCAGTTTTGATCTTACAAATGTATTGAATAGCCTTATAACTGTGTTAGATTTAAACTCTTGGCTAGTCCTAAGAACAAAACCGAGCTTCCTGTAACATTCAGCTGTTAAACTTGTAATATGCTCATTAAATGTAAAATTTTTGCTAAAAATTACACCTAGGTCCCTGATTCTATTTAGAGGCTCTATCTCAACACCATTCACCATATATTCTCCCAATATAGGGTATTTCTTCCGTGTATATGATACCAGTTTACATTTTGCCTCATTTAAAGCTAGGTCGTTATCTTTACAAAACTCAGAAACAGCTGTGACATCACTTTGCAATTTTGCAACATCATCCCAACATGTTATGTTAAGGTACATCTTCAAGTCATCTGCATAGAGTAAGAACTTTGCATGCTTTATATAATCAGAGATGTCATTTATAAATAAGATAAAAAGCAATGGTCCCAATATGGACCCTTGAGGTACACCGGAAGTTGACACAAAAGTTTCAGATTCTGCACTGTTAAATTTCACAAAGTTTATCCGATCAGTCAGATAAGTTCTAATAAACTGTATCAAATCTACGCTAAAAGAATAAGAGTTCAATTTCCATAATAGAATGTTATGGTTGACTCTGTCAAAGGTCTTCGCCAAGTTAGTATAAACAGTATCAATCTGGGAATTATATAAATTTTCTGTAATGTAGGCACTGAACGTCATAATTTAGTAGCGGTAGATCTTTTCTTTAAAAAGCCATGTTGTTCTTCTGACAATATTTGTGTCACATGTCTATATATCCTATTATATATTATCCGTTCAAATATTTTGAATATTGAAGGTAGTTTGTAATCAGACTAGTGTTTCCTGACTTGTGTACAGGCGTTATTCGCCCTATCTTACAGACTTCTGGAGGAAAGGTAATGGCAATGGTAATGCAATAACGTCAGCGTACGCTTTAAAAAAGTATGAAGGTAATCCATCTACACCTATACCGACAGTCGATACTAACTTTCTTATTTTAATTGGAACCCCCTGTATATTATTGCATTTTTGGAAAGAGCATCTATTTTTAAGTTGAAAACGTATAGCACACTCCATACTTAGGATTGACCGTTTCCAAGATATTTTGATTTTTAAGCAAAAATTGACAGATGCTGACTCAGCAAAATTTGATTTTCCCGGAAACAGTTTATTTTTTTGTGCAAATTAGACATTTTGTAGAGGAAGACCTAATTTATCGAATTTGACATGAAAATTTTCCAGTTTTTATACAGGGTGGCCAAAAAATATATATCGAATATGAACCTCAGAAAATGTCGAAAACTCGAAATTTTTAAATGGAAACCCCTAATTTTTTTAACGCATTCGCATTCTGTACTAAAATTTAGTGTAACTTTGTTAAAGTTTCCCTATACCTAAAACCAGTGGTTTTCATTTTATTTACAAATAAACATTTCCCTTTTCTTAAAATGATGTTTCCATTTGTTTCGCACATTTTAGGTTGGCTGTGACAGGTAAGTGCCTGTCACAGGTTTTTAATTGTGTGTGAGTAGGAAAAAGAGTTCCTTTACAAAGGGTTTTTTATTTAAAAAGGGTCATATTGTAAGTATGTATAGGTATACTTTTCCAAAAATTAATAATAAATTATATGATTTGCCCTATATCTAAGCTTAAAATATTAATATATTTCTTCTTTGTTTATGAGATGACTTGAATCGAAATTTAAATGCCTGTTTTTTGTATTAGTAATTGTTTTTTAATACTAATTTTAACTCAAAAACAAATAAAGTATTAAATTTCTGATTGGACAGAAATTTCGGAGATATCCTCAAATCGCATTTGAATTTGACTTTGTTAATTGGCGTTTTCCTGTAAGTACATAAATGTATTGTATTCCTTTTACATTGTTATTTGTGATTTTGACTGTTTTGAAAAAACCTATAGAATAACATCGCAATCGCATGATACAAAGTTATATACTTACTTAGAAAGATATTACACCTAAACCTAAACATAATTGAAAACTGACGATTTATCAGGTTCTGTTTTTGTTTATGAGACAATTTGTGAGTGTCAATATATTCAGATAATGCATTTTTTCTCTCTTTAACAGTATTTGCTTACTTAGGTAATTTATTAAAAAAAATCCACTTCTTATTTGTGGAAGGGCGAAATGGGCGGTAACTATTAGACGCCTTCATTATAGCCATCTTTCTCTATCGCACGGATTTCTACGACTTACTTTATCGCTCTCACGTAACAGCCGATGAACCATGGGGACTTCCCGACCCTGTATAGCCTCACTATTACTCTATTGTGTGCTATTTCAGTTAGTTTCGTTATACCATTTTTTAGTTATTAATGAAAATGTTGAAAAAATCTGCCTACAAAATTGATACCTCTCACTTTAAGTCGTCGTAATTTTTTTGTTAATTGCTAAAAAAATTCCAAATTTTTACTGACGATAAGTCGAACTATTGTCTTTAGTACTGTGAAGATAATTTGTTTCAAAAGCTCTTCTTTTTTTTATTTTTAAGCAAAACAAAAGGGAGTGCTATCTCCGTAAATATTGCATTTCTTAAAAAAAGAAAAAAACTGACAGAAATAACTGTAAACAACAATCTGAAAAAATGTATTAAAATAATACAGTTATAAATACGATATTCTTAAAAACAGTATAGCCAACTGTATTATTTTAACAAATTTTTTCAGATTGTTGTTTACATCCAGTTTTTTTCTTTTTTTAAAGAATACATGTTCTGCAAAAGTAAAAAAAGAAAAGCTTTTGAGACAAATGACCTTCACAGTACTAAAGACAATAGTTCGACTTATCGTCAGTAAAAATTTCTAATTTTTTTATAAATTAGGTAACAAAAAAAATTACGACGAGTTAAAGTGAGAGGTATCAATTTTGTAGGCAGAAAGCCGTGATTTTTTCAACATTTTCGTTAATAACGAAAAAATGGGATAACGAAACTAACTGAAATTTTAACACACCATAGAGTAATAGTAAGGCCATATATAGCCCAAATTTCATATTTTTTTGAGGTCTATTTAATTTATTTCGATAGTAATCAAGTTTAGATATACGGGTAGCTTTGATTTCTCTTAAACTAAAAAAATCTCGAAAATATGTACCTATTACATTAAATTTTTCAGTGATTTTATCTTTTATAAAATCGAAAATAGGCGCCGATAAAATTGTTAAGTATGTATACCAATAATTTATAGTTGAAGTTAAAAATATTAGAGTAGGTACTCTCAATGCGGCACTTTGATCTGAAATACACCTACCAACCATAGAAATAAGTTAATTATCTTGTTTTGTCTTTTGGCGGTCGTCGATATCTTATTTTCGAATCAAGTTTTACAAAAAAAATGGGACCGCCGTTATTTCTTCATAACTGTGTCGTTGTGAGTATACCTCTAAGTGTACTGCTTTGATATAAATGTCACGCCTGTCAAAAATATTTACCCAAGCTGACGTCCTGGAGTGTTTAGATAATTGCCGGGGAAGATTACACAGAAAAAAAAACACCGCGTTTTATAAAAACATTTATTATCACTCCCTTAAAATTGCAAACGTTCTTTACAAATCTTAAAAATATAATTTACGGATAAATAACCTACGTTCCTAAGTGTATAAAACTATTAAAAACGTAACAAGTATTAAAATAGAGATGACTAACATGGTATTTTTTTAATCAAATCAATTGCAACGACAATTAAAGAGATAATGAATACCGTATAAATCACCGTTTGATAAAATACTAGAACCTAAGTATATAAATATGTACGCAGTAAGGGACTTAAGATTCTAGAGAAATTCTAAGAAAATTTAAAAACATTGCTGTCTCTGTTCCCGTTTGCTGAAGTTGGCTTGGGTAACCGTGGGGAAACATCTCTGCAATAAAAAATGTAAGGTAGAAAAGGTTACCGAGCTCAATCTACGACTAAAATAAATAAATTCGTTGATTGCGCCGTTATATTTCAAAACACCCTGTATATCTCAGCTAGTGTTAAAGCAAGTGTTAGGTGTAAGGATAACTAAAAATATTTAGGATTCTCTTGTTGTATACAGGATGAGAGGAAAAAACCCAAATGTTGTTAAGCGATTTTCATTTGTTGTGTGTCGAAATTCATTTTTTAACATGTATTATCAACTGTTCTGTGTTTATTGTTTATTTTAATACTCTTTTAGTGTGACGTCACATATTTAGGCAACCCGTAACAAATTGTACAGACCGAATCTGACTCTTGTGTAGTATTTACATAGGTAGATACTACATGAACAACTTCAAATTAATTTATTTTTACAAGGATTTGGAAGTATTTAAGAACAACCAACAAGTGTTTGGTAAAATAATGTGCTTAAAACTTACAAAAAACGATATAAAAGAATATTTTTAAATTTAAATAAAGTAAAAATTTAACATTAGCCTATTCCTAATAAGCATGCTCGGGAAGAATAGCCTCATACGCATTTTCTAGTTCTACTGAGTATTTTTATTGTTTTTCTTGGTGCTGTGCTGTGTCCGTGTGTTTATCGAGTGTTTTTTTCTTCAAGTGGTTTATTATAGACGTAATCTTAACCACAACCAAACTTTTCTTGAATGATATCCTGTTGCGAAGCTACTACGCTTACATGAAATTATCTTTAATGCGCATGTTCAGTAATATAGATATAGATATAATCTTAATTTATTAGTTACTATAAAAGTTAATATTGTTCTATAAATTTAAATACATAAATTCTATAATTCTATAATTCTATTAGTTCGTCACTTGGGGTTTGAAGCTTCTTAAATATTTCTAATATTGCTAGAATATCACGATATTTATGGCCATGACAAAGAAGCCATTTTTTTGACACTTATGTGTAAAGTACATAAGGTCGAAAATCGATCTAGTAAAAATACTGAGAAATCCTTCATGACAATGTGTACTATGGGGTTGCCTATTATTTGGCGTATGTGACGTCACTGCTATAATGGTCTATTGGGATAATTAACTTGAAAAATAATACAGGGATTATCGTTTTTTAAATATTGAAAGCAATCTCAGTTTGGAAGCGAGTTAAAACAAATCGTAACGTTGACTAGGTATAGTAGTATCTATAAAATACATTTTTATTTTTAATTGACATCCGTACTTGTATTTTAAATATAACATGTTTCATCAATTAACCGTTTAAGGTATTTTTAGATTTATATTGTACTGTTGAGTATTTTTTTAACTACTTTATACACAATTTCAAGTGGAACATACCCAAAAGATAAATCATCTGTAATCAGTGTCGGTTCATATTGAGTCAATTTATGTTCGATGCAAGCTTACTGGATATCTTAGGAACGGTGAAAAATGTAGATATTTATTCTGTTCAGTAGCAAACACAAACGTTATAATTTCTGACAATATTGGTACGTATGACATATAAGATAAGCTTATAAAGACAATCAGATGGGTATGGAAACGCTCTCAGTAGTGAGACGAGGATGGCGAGTGCTTTTGTTAAAAAGAAAATGACAAAACACAAAAATTACAATTACAAAATCCGTACTAATGTATTATAATACCCTTATTCCGTTTCTGTTACTATGCTGACATAAATTTCACTAATCACGTTACCGTCATCTAGTAAGATATATTCAAAGTCCAGCTTACCCCTTAAGGTCCCCACACATGCTCCGTCTTACTTCGATACTTGCCTGCGCAGTTCTAAACCCAAAGCTACGCTTAAAGTGAAAGTAGGGTCACATGTTTAGTTATTTCATACTTTTGCTTAGTTATGTTAACAGGGAGTTTTGGAAAACGGTACCATGATTATAGGTGCTGATCAAACTTAAACGAATAAGACCACATGCCTTTCGTCATTTGTTTTTAAGATACATGGGCTTACTGTGAGGATACAAGAGGATACAAAAATTTAAATAAAATTAATTGTATTGATTAATAAAGGCAAAAGCAGTTGAATTTGGCGATATAAAATAGGTGCGATAAAATTCTATTTACATATTTCTTTCCTTGCGAAAGTTTTTGTCCGTTTTTATCACACCGCCATGCCCGTCGCATTGCGCGAGGTCAGGTTTTACAGTGGACCAGTTTCCAGTGCCGTGCAGA